ATTTGGGAGATAGGAATCCTAATATTATCACAATTACCTATAAACGCTTATTTACAAAGAAATAATGGGATTTAGGTGAGTAACTTCTAGTGTCCATGAAGCTATGGCTTGAAGAGAAAGTCTATACATTAGCATTTAAAATTCTTATTTTATTGTCCAATCTCTTCAAGGGATGAAACAATGCTAATTCATAGTTATACTAACAATTGTTCTTGTCTTGTAATCCTTTAAGCTTGTTCTCATGAAATCTGGAGGACGCTTGATCTATGCCGGCCCACTTGGGAAGCACTCAAGTAGGGTCATCGAATATTTTGAGGTCAGTTTTCTTCTATCATACCCAACTTCTTTTTCATCACCAATATTAGTTTTGCCACTCCTCTTCAGGAAACAAATGATTGATTGAATCTTGGTTTACACTCTTGCAACTTGTGTTATTAGAGTATACCAGGGGTGCCAAAGATTAAAGACAACTATAATCCATCAACATGGATGCTAGAAGTTACTTCAAGATCTGCAGAAACTGAACTTGGTGTAGACTTTGCCCAAATTTATAGGGAGTCAACCTTATATGAGTAAGTAATCACAAAGAATTTTACTTCTTGAAAGAAATTCCCTTTTAGTGGAGTATTTATTTACTCTTGTGAGTGCAGACAAAACAAAGAGTTAGTCGAGCAATTAAGTTCACCTCCTCCGGACTCCAGAGATTTGTATTTTCCAACCCATTTTCCACAAAACGGTTTGGAACAGTTTAAAGCATGCTTGTGGAAACAGCATTTGTCTTATTGGAGAAGTCCTTCATACAACTTGATGCGCATTGTTTTTGTGGCTGCCTCATCTCTTCTATTTGGGATACTGTTCTGGAAGAAAGGAAAGAAAATGTTAGTGACCATACTACTATTTTACTGAATTCTCCATTAACAAAAAAAAAGGAATATTTAAGATAAGTTTTCCTAATGTATCAAATGATCTTCATGTTGTAAAAGTAAAGCTGCATTTTAGTATGCTCCTAATTTTCTAGTCATGTTATTCTACTGAATGAAATTAAATTCTATTGCTTATTTCACAGAAATAGCCAACAAGATGTGTTCAATGTATTTGGGGCAATGTACTCTGCTGCACTCTTCTTTGGGATAATTAACTGCTCAACAGTTTTACCATATGTGGCAACAGAACGCACTGTTCTGTACCGTGAAAGATTTGCTGGAATGTACTCTCCCTGGGCTTATTCTTTTGCACAGGTTTGGTTCTCTTCAAATTATGGACTCACCATTCATTTTCAATTACTTTAAGGATAAAACTTGCATGTAGTAAGTCACTGTTGGTATTATTTTTTAATTATAATTAGAGTTTTATTTTGATAGTATGCGTTGACATATAATGAAATCTTTTATTACAATTGTTAATGAAGTGAAACTAATTCTATCTATCGTATTGTATCTAACTTATTTCTTTAATTTAATTCAATAACAAAATGTAGAAACCATCTTCTCTCCTAGCTAAATACTAGTATCTTATTTTCAATTTCACTACAATTGGAGCACATTAAGTATTGCAATTTATGTTTTGAGGTTACTCTTCCAATAATTTTAGTGTAACTTGGATTTAATTCTTTTGTAGGTGCTAATTGAAGTTCCCTATTTATTCATTCAAGCTGCTGTATATGTGATAATCACATATCCTATGTTGGGCTACGATTGGTCTGCTTATAAAATATTTTGGTCATTCTTCAGCATGTTCTGCAACATGTTATACTTTAATTACTTAGGGATGCTCATTGTTTCATTGACGCCAAATGTTCAATTGGCTTCTATCGTGGCTTCATCTGCATACACGATGCTCAATTTATTTTCTGGGTACTTTGTACCACGACTAGTAAGTTTCCTAAATTGCTATTTTGTTATGTTATATTTGCATGCATGGCAAGTATACATATATGTTCTTTTGGTACTGCAAGCAAACATGTTAGAGTACTTATTAAGAAATTAAATATAAAATAGGTTAAATAAACAAATGCTTTTCATTTTTGACAAAAAAAAAATTAATATGCACTTCTTTTTCTTATAATCAATCATTGAGCTATTGCAATTTTAACCTTTCTAACGCATAAATACATAGATGGTGTAAACATTATAAATGATAAGTTCATAATAGCTGAATTGTTTTTTTATATTGCTTGAAATGTAACACTGAAGATGGTTTCCTCATTGCAGCAAATTCCCAAGTGGTGGATTTGGATGTATTATTTATGCCCCATGTCTTGGGCACTGAATGGGATGCTTACTTCACAATATGGAGATGTCAACAAAGAAATAAGAGTCTTTGAAGAAAAGAAAACTACTGCCAAATTTTTGGAAGATTATTATGGGTTTCACCATGATTTTTTAGATGTAGTTGGTGTGGTTCTCATTCTCATCCCCATTGTTTTTGCTTTTCTATTTGCTTATTGCATTGGAAACCTCAACTTCCAGAGGAGGTAAAATTATGTAACTTGTAGGATATCGATAATGTTAATACAATTATGGTTTTGGTGAAATAAATCAATTTCTTGCAAATTTTATTATACAAGTGAATGATTAGTAACCAAAATAAAATGCAAAATGCGTCCATGCATCATAGTTTACTTCATCCATGATATCAGAGTCTCACCCAGTCATAAAGGGCCCAGCCTAACAATCAAATAAATTCGGTCCGTGATAATATCAGGCCCAGTCCAGTATACATTTGCTATAAAAAAATTGAGTCTTTGCTTTAATTATGTGATTAGTTAATTTATTAAATAAATATAATAAAATGATTTTAAATTATTTTTACTAACATCATAAATAAAATATTTTTTTTATTACTCCATGTATTACATTAATATACTTCAACAATATTTTGCATTTTTACATTATAGGAGATTTAAGTTTTATAAAAAAATCAAAAATTATTAAATATACTTTTATTACAATTTTGTTTTTTCGTCATTAACATCAAAAATTATTTCTTGCATTTATAAAAGGATTAATATAAAAATCACATGTTATAAAAATTATAAATAAAAAAAATAGTTTAATTATATTTCATACACAATAAAAAAAATTAGCAAAAATATTTTTCATCATTTGTATATATCTCATGAATATAACTATAAGATTAATTCTTGAATTAAGAGCAATGATCATTTCTCAATACATTTCTGCCGAATATCAGTTTTATTATGTATATATTATATCTATTAAAATTCGCAAACTTTTATTCATGAGATTTTTAATTTAAGTTGTATAGCCAAAATTATTTTAAATGTAAGAATATGATGAATGATGAATATCTTTATTACAATAACATGGCTAACTTATTTTATCTTAAAAAATACTTTTATTTTTCTAATCCTTTACATTAACATCAACCATATATTTCAATCATTTTACATATAAACATTTTAAGGTAGCACAAGTGAAATTCTTTAACAAGTGTCACTCTCTCAACAAACCAACAAAAAAAAATCAAAACTTAACCATTTATAAAATAATTGAATAAAATATTATTATATGTATTTATGGATAACAAAACCAATAATGGGCATCTCCAAAAATTTGACAAAAAAAATTAATTGCTTAGGGGCATGGTCTCAGACTCTCAGCAAAGCTGCAAAACTTTCGCTCTCTTTTCCCTAATTGTGTTTACACTTAATTGATGTTTTTAAAATTTGACAGATGTATCAGTTTAGACACTAGTTTAATGTGATGATTTAATCATGGTTAAATTGTGGATATTAATAAAATAATAATAATTATTATTGATTAAAAAATATTAAATATAATATTTTTATTTTATAATATTAAATGTTAAAATAAAATATTATTTATAAATTCTTAATATTTAATATATATATATATAATTTTAAATTATACATAATATAATAT